TGAACAGCTCTGCTGTATATGCTACATACATATGCATATTTATATACAACTGTACACACAGGATATGTATATACACATATGCATACACTGCACAAGTTAAGAGAAGTTACAGGCTACGCTAGTATAAAATATAAAGTTACAAGTAATTTTCATACCAAAGACAACACATATATAACATAAGAATAAACACAGTAACCGCTGTGAAAGCAAAATTATGCTGAAGGAATACAATGTCTTGGCTGATTATTCTAGTTTATAATAACTGCAGAACAGTAAGTTATTTGGTTGGTATTGAAGAAATTTACTTCTTTTCTTCTCAAAAAAACCCAAGTGATCACTGTCTTATCTACAAATTAAAGTAAGCTACAAATGCAAGAATGACCATGTTTCTTGGCAATGACCATTATAATCAGAGCATGAATAGTCTTTGTAATCAAGTTAACAGAATGAGAGCTGTTAAACAAATGAATCCTTCCCTGTACCGAGTCTCGCATCACTCCTAATTAGCCAGGACGCAGGGACAGGAGAACTCACAAAGGCAACTCTGGCTATGAAGTTGTGCCCAGGTTAAGGTGACTGACCTCCAAAAGCCAGGAATGCGGTTAAGTATTATGGAGGAATACCAGGTGAGCAAGTTTCTGCAGAGCTGGCATTCAGCGGTGGCTCACAAGCTCAGACACACCAAAGCTAATTGCATGCAGCCAAACACACCTCTAACACCTCAACTGTGCCTCCCTCTGCGTCCCACAGAGCTCCCTCACACCCCGTGTCAGGTATACGGCACATTCACCATCCCAGCAGGCAGAGAGGTAGTCCTGCTCGCAGAGTCTTGTGCATCTCTGTTCCTTTACTTTCATGCCATTTTCCTATTTTCTTTTCTATGCTGCTGCTTCTTATAATTTTTTCCTCCAGTATAATTTTCCCATCGTATTAATGCACAACACTGCTTTCTGCTGAAAAGGCATTGCTGTTAAGTATTGAGAAAAAAGCTGAAAATGCTTGAGAGGTTTGGTATCCCTCCATCATTTCTGCACTAACCCAGAGCGTGGGAAGTAACACTATCAGCGGGTCAGCACATCTAACTGCCACTTATCTCATGCTTTAAAAACTTATTGAACATTAATGTTGAACTTTTTGAGGTTTTCTACTAATAACAACAAAACAGAACAGGTCAGAAATTCTCTTAGTAAGTAATTTTTGCATTCAACATTTCGAGAACTTTAACAAAACAAATATGTTAATGTTTGATTTCTATGGAATCAAGAAACAATTGAACGACAGTGACTACAGTACCATTAATTGTGTTTATCTAATAATTTCAAAGCCCATCCTCTCTGGATTTTTATGTGCCTAATGGTGTTTATAGGCAGCTTTTGTCCATTTGTTCTTCCACTGCTCTTACTGCAATACTTTCTCCTTTTCTTCATCCTCAGTACAAAATTTCACTTCTCTGTTTTTCCCTTTATTTCTTTATTCCTAATTTTTCTGTCTTCCTCTCAGTGTAAAACCATCTCTTCTCAGCATAGGTGTCACCTATATTATCAGTTCCCTTTGACCTTACTTCCAGTTACTAGCAAACTATGCACCTTCTCCATTTGCAAATTAAAAAGCGTGATCTCACTTACCTTTGCCCCCTCCTCCAGCGTACACATGACATGTTAAACGTTTTTCACTTTGACTGGTGCAATGTGAGAATGATTCTGTTTTGTCTTTCAAGAAAATGGCTAAGGGCCAGGAAAAGCATAGCTATGCGTCTTCCACAAAGCTACAGTATTTACTTGTACTTACATTCACTTTACACATAGATACATTGAAACAGTTGACTTGGCTATTACAGTGAAACTAAAAATTGGGACTTCCATTATAAACTGAACCTTTTAATAATTTAGAACTAGGTTGGGATTCTGTATTTTTCAGTGCAAGTAATTCTTGCTGAAAAAGTTCTGTGAAAATTATCCTCTACTCTCTTTCCTCAATATGTGTATACATACAAGTATTACAAAAAATCCCACTTTTATTTTGCTCCATGCTTACGATACACAAATATGTGCACAGATTAACAACTTTACACAACATGCATTGCTATGCTGAAAAAAGTGAAAAATTAAAAATGGAAAACAGAAAGAAGGCTTCCCAAAAGTAATCCAATCTAGGTCCTTGCAGGTTTTGAAACATACTTAATTATCAAAGCAAATCCTGATAGATGTTAATGTTACTATAAATACATTTACTGTGTTTCAGAGAGGTCTTTCTCTGGATAAATACAACAGTCCTTCCCAGTTCCAGAACTAGTGTGAGAAGAGAGAAAAAAAAAAAGTTGTTGTAGGATACTTCTCATATGTTATACAATTTTGACTAATTTTTAGATTAATTTTCAAGTAGAAGGCCACTACCAGCCTGGAAGCCCACCTAAGAAACCAGAGCTGACTCACATTTTCTGGGTATCCAAGAAAATAGAATATTTTTCCTTGATTTTCCTTATTAGAATCAGTGGCATGTACCCAGCTTTTCTTCCTCAAAGATCTACAGACCATCGTTTTCTCCATACAAATAACCCTTCCAGACAGTGGACAACCCTATATCAATGAAGGCCTGTAGTATGACATTAAAAAATAACCAGATGAAACAAAGAATTAACAATTTTCCACCTCCTTACACGGGAATTTGTTAAATAAAACTATAGAGAAAAATAATCAGTGGGCGATACCCTACAGCACAGAAAAGGGCGAAAAAAGTCAGACCCAGCAGTCCTTTCCAATTTTCTGTTCTCTATGTCACCTTCTTTACACGTTTCCGATACTGGCAGTATGCTGTTTGTTCAGCTGAGCAATGCATGATTTTCCAGCATCTCCCAGTTTTGGCAAGGCGACTGCTGTGCACAAATAGAGACGCGGCCTCCGCATCTCACAGCTTTGCTGCCATGCTTGGTGACATGAAAAAGCTGCCTAACTTTAGAAGGATCACAAGGGCACAGAGTTTTCCAGCTTATGTGGAATGTTCCTGAAAAGCCAAGCAAGTGGAAGGTTTTCCTGGGAGCAACTCGAGCAACATCCTAGTCACAGCATTTTTTCTATAGCTGAATTCTGGTCCTTAAGATGCCTTCTTTATGAAGGATCTGAATTCCCTCCTAGCATTAAAAACATCTTCAGTCTTTGAATGAAGGGATGGGCCTCTACCTAGAACAGCACTACCCCTATTACCATGGAAATCTGGCAGATGTAGCAGCAGACTGTCTTAAGAAACAAGGGAGAAAATGACAAGCCTGCGTTACTCTGCAGTCTTTCCTCCTTCAAGAGGCACCACTGCCTTCTAGGTGGTATTTAGCTGGACTTTGCTTTGTTTAAAGAAAATGTAAAAGAGAACGATATTAGGCTTGACCCTAAGGGTCTGTCATGTTTTACAAGAAAGGGGAGGAAGAGAGAAACTCTCCTCCCTTGTTTAAGCTAGTTAAGGCAAAGTCAATGGAAACAGAAGACACAACAGTAGCTGGCATCATACTGTAGGTCATCTTTGGTTTTTAATTTTGGCAATTCCCAATCAAGTTCAGGCTGCCTATTTGGAAGGGTGAGATGCATTTTGTAAAACCTTTCTCTTGAAGGTCACTGAAAAGATGCTGTCTGTTACAAAAGGAATCATGCAGTGTTACTGCAGCAGCTGATTTACCTCTTCAAAAGCACCAATGCCACATTAATTGAAGGCTCTTGTTGAGGGTATTATCCAGATTCAAGAACAGTGGACATAGAGAAATAGCTATACCCTGGGATCAGACACTTTTTCAAAACTGGGGCAGAGCAACTTGACCTAGAATCTAGAAAAACAACAGATTTACTACAAGCTGCAGCAGCTCCTCTTTGTTTCTAAGACCTATGTAAATTAGAAAAGCTGTAACGCAACCATATAATCTGTTATTGTAATTACAAAGCTAATCAAGAACTTTGAGTTAACAATAGCACTATGGCACACAATCAAATTGTGAAATGGAATGAAAGGCGGAAAATGCAGATTATTAGAAAACTATCAGCAATTGTTAAATTTCAGAACACAAAAGCCATAGCAAGGAGTTAGGAAAATGGCAATAGAAACCTCAGTGAGAAGTTTTAAAGTTAAAAGCATTTCGTTTTGCACTTAATGTGCCAGCATCCACCGCTTGCCATAGTATCCATACTTATTGTTTTAATGTTACAGACTGAAAGATGGTTGGAAATTTTAGACCACTTTCTGAATATTTCTAGTTGAACACACAAACATGTTTGTATTTAAGATTTAAACCCTACTGAAGCGTGATAGTTTCTTACATCGTACTCACTTTGTTATGAGTCTCTACAACTGAAAGAAATAACAGGTCAAGTAAAATATGCAATAATACTTAAAACAGATGTTGATGTAAATTCCAGTGGAAAGAAAATATTTGTTTCGATGTATGCGCTTTCTTAGAGCTTATTTTTCTTATACTGTGCAACTACTGTATTTAAAAGCAGAGACTATTAAGAATGAATTTTTTTAAAAAACAGTAAGAACTGGTTCTGTGAAAGCCTGTCAAAGAACTGAATGTCCTGATTTTTTAAAATTTGTGCTGCTTCACAGGACATATAACATCACCAACTCCATGGGGGTGAGAAGGGGAGACTATCTGACCTTTTATCTCACTCTCAATATAAATTTCCCTGTATTGATGCACTCCAAATTATATAAACTGATGAGTCAATTCTGTACAGTTTCAACAGGAAAAGAACACTCTTCAACCTTTGAAATTTTATATATCAAAACATTAATTGGGCTCACTGCCTCAAAAGCAAAGTCAAAGGCTTGAGAAAAATTGTTAGCTGCTTTGAAATCTTTTAATTTTGGCTCTTAAATTTATTTTCCTACTGATATAATGTGATTAAGAAACTATTATGCCCAGGAGAAATGCATCCTGTATTCACAGGGCTGAAACAAACTGCTATTTTATAAGGTTAGAGATCAAGAGTATGATTTCTATTCCAGGTTAACAGACTTACATGATTTTCTGTTGGAAATTTTCAGTGGCTGAATCTGCACTTCTGGTCTTCTTAATGCAAATCTCCTATAAAATGGGAGGTGGCAGGGGAAAGACACAAACTCCTCAGTTTTCACTGCAAGTTTGGGATTAATGAACACTTAACATCACGAGACTGTTGCAAAATAACCAGAAGATTTTATAAGAAATTAACTTAAAACAATGCAATCTAGTCACAAACTAAAAAATTAAATCCTCGGCCTCAATTTTTTGTAAGCTTTCCAAAACCTGCTGCAGCTCTTACTCCTGCATAGTACATCAGTGTGAATACAGATACTGATGTGCTATTTTCCATATGTTTTTTCTTTCAATCTGGATCAGTGTTATCCTACCAGTTTTTGTCATTATTAATTCTAGCCAGACAAATAAGGAAATCCAAAGTATTTCAGCAACAGGTTTCCAAGTTCAATTGTCATGCGGCAAATGCAGGTTTATCATACCCATGTAATCTACGAGCATTACATATGACAACTGTGCTAACTTAACAGCTCGTCAAGTAAGTGTCTTCTCTTACTACAAGAAGTAATGAAACTATGCTTCTCAGTAGCTCACCTCTCTTGGAAATGCTTTGAAGGGATCAAGCCTGCTCTGGGATTGGCATCACCTTCATGTTTGGCCTGCCACCAGGTTGCATCATCCTGGCTCATGATCTGAAGGACATCTCCTTTTCTGAAAGCAAGGCCAGCTTCTTTACAAGGAATTGCTTTATCCTCATTAGGATCATAGTCAAATAGGGCTCTGATAAACATCTGAAACAAAATGGGTTTTATCTTTAGAATAAAATATTATATGTAATCCAAAGGTATCTCCCATTTTTGCTCTTACTGTTCAAAAACATTGAATTTAGTAAAGTAAAGCAATAAATAGTTGCTGCTATAAAACATCCTTATGGATGCCTAGCATCAGAAGTTCATACAGGAATGTTAAATTCATTGCTCCTGCAAACGCAATCCCAAAGCAGTAAAGCCTGTATGATCCAACTCCCAAAGGCAGGTGAATAGCGTGCTCACATGGGGAACACAAGAGACAATACTTTGGAACCAAGGTGCTATCAAGTGTCTTCTGCCCAGTCTATGATCAGAGAAAAGGGGTACTTGTAAGAAAGTCAGGTCCTTGCAGAAGACTGAAGATTATCTATGTCAACTTCATGCCTGCACAGTTTGGGCTTAAGAACCATGTTACATCCACTGGTAAATCCAGCACTGAGTACTGAAGTGTACTGTGTGCTACATATTGTCACATTAGAAAAACTGAGTCCAGAGACATAAATCACATTCTTGGTTCTGTCATCCAAACAAGCACTACATATCATCAGCAATGCAGTTACTGCAGTAGCTTGCCTACCTTGCCTTCCTTCACTGGCATTTCTTCTTTCACACTAGGTATAATTTTAAATGTAATCGCTCCTTGAGACTGAGCCTGGTGAACATTTGAAAAGAAAACACACTGAGAATTAAGCTGAGAATAAATCTTAAAAGGAAAAGAAATTAAAATTAATTTAAAAATACTCAAGTATAAAAAATCTGTCCTCTCCCAAGCATGATCCATGGAGTTTGTCAGCTTCATCACACCAAACTTTGCATTGCAAGGATTAAAATACCCACTTAAAATACTCAGTTTTATTTGCTTCACTGGTGAGCAGATACAGACGGTTAAAAACTGGGACCTACATGTTTCAGAGGTCCCACTTCTGCACTAGAAGCAGGAGCAAATAGTACATCTAAAATGTATGCATATTAGAAGCAACTGCTGGACTCCTGGCACAGTTTGGATATCCCTGGAAAAATCCAACTAACATTTCATTTTTCAAAAGAATGTGCCATATTTATCATATAAAACTATTGGGGGGGGAACTTATTCTTTTGGCAACTTTAAGAAACTAGAAAAGAAAAACATATTTTAATAGACTACGTGTACTAAATGGAAAAAAAGCCCTGCACTATAAATCTTAAAACAAGTTAGCCATCATCAACCACCTCATCCATTCATCTTTTCCTATATCCCACTTAAAGTGTGTCTGGCTGCATTTTACTTATTAACCACAATATATTCCCACTGCCTCAGTGACATTTTGCTATTGAAGGAAGTGCTAATCAGCTGGAGCCTCTGCTATTATTGCATGCAGCCGACAAGTTTCATAAAACCAGCGGAGTGCAACAGGCAGCCAACGATTTAAGCAAAATGGAAACAGGCCTGTCCACTACCCAGTGAGACATAGTTCTGCCGGCATGTCTGTGATCCAAGAGCTCCCTTTTTGACAAGCAGCAGCCAAGTTCTTATTTCACCAGCCCTAGGACTGGAATCAATAATTCTGCTACTTTTGAAACAAGCGCTAAACTAGCTTTTGATGTTTATATTGTACCTCAAGGAGGTAAATGCGGAAATTGTTCACACCTTTTCTTGGGCTATTGTGTTTCTAGAGATTTTTAAATATTAATTTTTGCAGGAAAATAGGTTTCTGTAGGGAACATAAAACCATAGAGCAAGTATGAATAACAGAGGGTTAACACCTGAATCATCTTGGTTAATGAACCAAAACTGTGAGACACTGACTCAATTGAGCAGGATAGCAAGGTATTTATGTACACAGAAGTGCCTACACTATGAATATAAAGAGTTGTCATGATCCTGATGGGTTTCTTTGCTGTAAAAATATTAAATTGTTTTTTTAAAAGTCCAAATTATTAAATTTGCAATAGTGTTCCATAAGTGAGTAATAAGGCTAGCTTTAGAGACTGTGTAGTTCAGAGGTCTGCAAATATAATCACATATATATATGGCTATATACTGCAAATTAATAGAAATAATAATTTTAATATATTAGTTTGTTCTATCAAGTACATGTATTATTAATGAATTTTTACATGGAGTTAACATTATTAATAAATACATTTAAAATAGTTTGAATTCAACAGATAATGGTGTGCCTTAAAAAATGCAGATTATACACTGAAGTCAGCAACATTTTGCAAGATATTCATAGCCACATTACCATCATTAACACTTTACATGTAATCTGTAATTGCCTATAAATATGTATTGCATGGAAAATCATTTTTTAATAGAAAGGAAAAAGAGGTTTGTAAATTATGTCACTGGAAGAAAAGACATTATTGTAGAATATACTTTTTTCTAAGAAATACAGCAGAAATTATAAGTCTAATTACTTTTTCTTGACTCCCCTAAATTAATTTTAAAATGTTTGGTATTTACCAAAATGTGTATTATTTCTTCAGGTTTTTTATCATCTACTGGAATCCCATTGACTTCTCTTAGTTCATCACCAACATGAATAAGACCTACAGAAGGCAAAGAGGAGTTGTTAAATGGTCGCTATGTATTATACAAAAAATGTCATTCTGGTTTTTTTCTCCTTTCTTAATCCAATTTAACTTAAAAGCAGGAATACATAGTGAACAAAACAACAGCTACTGTCCTCACAGATAAGTTTGAGATGGTTGGTTTACTCATCTCCTTTCTTTCCTCCTGAAAATTAGTACTATTTCTCTATGACTTTTCCAGACTTTTATGCAGATGTTTCAAAAATGTGCCAATTTTCTTCCTCCTCATACTACTTTCTTATTGCTACACAGCTGCAAGTACTGCAAAGATCACTTAGGCTGAGAGTGCTAATTTGTGGCACAAATTCTTCCTAATTCAACATCTAGATTTACTCCATTACCCCATGTAAGTGTGAAACACAGCTGCTCTAGATTCTTTTCCATGAAAAGCATCACTTTAGAGGATAATTCAGGACCTCTTGCTTGAGCTCCTGCAGACTTTGAGCATCCCAAAGTAAACAACAGCAGTCAAGGACGTGCTGGTATTTTGAGAATTAACAGCTAGAACTCAAAATGGATGCACTAATATAAAATAATTCAGCCATCCTGAGTTCCTCCATCAGCAAGTTAAAATCTTGGCATATCCTATCATTTCTAAGTGGATGTCTTCAATTGGAAACAAACCATGACATATCTCTAAAAAAACCTCTGATTCTGCTAACTCAAAGATACCCACTTGCAAGTGAATTGGGGAAAAAAAATCAATACAGATACTTTCATCAGTACTGAAATATCACTTTGGAAAGCTGTCCAAACCCCCAATGCTTTTGTTTGTGACAGTGATGTATTTTGTGTGTACAAAATGCTCCCATTTTATTTCATCTTTTTCTGAGCTATAGAACTTGAGTGGCTAGTGGAAAACAGCAACACCTTACCACTTCTATCTGCAGCTCCTCCACGCATTATTCTGGCCACCACAATTGCACCAGTATGTTCATCCCTTTTAATAGTAGCACCCTTTAAAGAAAAAAAAAATTTGGTTAATCTTACTATAATTTTAATTCACTTCACTAAAAAAAACATTTGCTATGCAAAACTGCAAAGAGTTGACATCGGATCAATGTGTGAATAAGCCAGAAATTATACCTGCTCATGAAAAGAATATACAAAATATGTTGCTCTATTACTATCCTATTAAAATGTGACTTTTTTTCCATTCAGAACTGACTTACGCAGTTTTGACAAATCACAGAATCGTTTAGGTTAGAAAAGACCTTTAAGATCAAGTCCAACTTAGCACTGCTGAGTCCACCACTAAACCATGTCCCTAGGCACCACATCTACACATCTTTTAAATACCTCCAGGGATGGTGACTCCACCACCTCCCTGGGCAGCCTGTTCCAGTGCTTTACAAACCTTTCAGTGAAGAAATTTTTCATAATACCCAATCTAAACCTCTCCTGGCACAACTTTAGACCAGTTCCTCTCATCCTATGACTTACTGCTTCGGATAAGAGACCAACCCCCACCTCACTACAGCCGCCTTTCAGGTAGGTGTAGAGAGTGATAAGGTCTCCCCTGAGCCTCCTTTTCTTCAGGCTGAATGACCCCAGCTCCTTCAGCCGCTCCGAATGAGACTTGAGCTCTGGACCCCTCACCAGCTTTGTTGCCTTTCTCTGGACATGCTCCAGCCACTCAATGACTCTGTAGTGAGGGGCTCAAAACTGAACACAGTCCTCAAGGTGCGGTCTCACCAGTGCAGGGGAAGGATCACTTTCCTGCTCCTGCTGGTCACACTATTCCTGATACAGACCCGAATGCCATCGGCCTTCTCAGCCACCTGGGCACATTGCTGGCTCATGTTCAACTGGCTGTCGACCAATGCCTCCAGGTCCTTTTCTGCTGGGCAGTTTTACAGCCACTCTTCCCTGAGCCTGTAGCGTTGCATGGGGTGGTTGTGACCCAGGTGCAAGAACCAGCACTTGGCCTTGCTGAACCTCATACAATTGGCCTTGGCCCATGGATCCAGCCTGTCCAGATCCCTCTATAGAGCCTAATGATATGATACAAGAAGTTTACTTTTCGACTTAATAATAACCGCAATCTACCTTACTTTAGTCTGTTACTAAAACTGTACTAAATCATTACTAAGAATGGATAAATTGCTTTTCCTGCATTAAGACAGGCCATGCTTAATACTGTGAGTACAAAAAGTTTATCCATGTTCGTAATACCTGCACTTTATGCTCAAAACACCACCCATTAATCACAGTTTTGCTTTACAACATTTTCAGTAAATAAACATGAATTTGAGAAATATCCCTGCACATTAGGGTTCACTTGGAGTATCCGTTGGACAAAAATGCAGAGGAGGGGAACACTTCCTGAGTTAGTCATGACTGTTTTCATACATTACACAAACACGGCACAAGGCATTTAGGTAAAATGACATCATGCAGTTAAATTTCCGGCAAACAGCTGTCTAGATGAGAAAAATGCCTTTGTAACTAGATCTGTGAGGGTGCGCTGGAAAGAGGCACAAGGTGACTGGAAGCAGCAGGCAGCAGCAGTGACAAGTGAGAAGGGAAGGGATGCGGAGGCACAGAGCCACTTCCCAGGCTGTGGGGCCTGTCCTCTCTGGCAGATGGGAAGAAGCAAGGGGAAAATGCTGGCTTCACTCTGGAAGGCAGAATCCTCGGAATAATGAGGTGGGTTTTAGCTAGGTAAGTGACACTGCATAATCATCTTCAAAACAGTTATTTGATCTGGTACTCTTAAAAAACAACATGAAAAAAAGCACCTCCTGGCCAACAGCCTTTTATCTGCATACAATTACTTTGCCATGTCAAAGTAGTTAGTTACCTGCAATGGCTCTAACCTTGTTAATCAACAGAGATGTTTAGGACTCTGGCAGGTAAGCCAGTTTTCTGAAAAATTCTGTTATTTTTGATTAGTGAATGAACAGTATTACTTCAGCTCTGAGTACAAGACAGTGGTTAGAATTTCCTTCCATCAGAGAAGTGTTGTGCTAAAAGTAAGGTACAGAAGCACTTTTATAAAGTTCCTTGAATAATGAAATTGCTTTCACAGCTAGCTTTCTATATTTGTTTAGATTAAACATGAACATCATTTTATCACCATGTCAATTTTGAAGTGTTTAATGGATGTAAAGCTGAAATAAGTACAAGTAAATAATGGGAGTGACATTTTTCTACAATTAACAATTTTATTGACTGTAAATAAACTTGTTTCCCTTTCTCTCTGCCTCTAAGATGGAAATACAGCACAAGACAAAAATGGGAGATTAATTTTTATTTTTTACTATATGCAAGCTGCATTTATTGCAGATAAAGAAAAATTAAAATAGTCACCACACAATATTCTCTTTGGCTGAAACTTTAGCAGCAGCCAGCACTCCATAGCAAAACTCATGTGCTGGTTGTGCATTTTATTTTTCATCTTACATGTATTAGTATTACATTCTGTCCATAAGTAAAGTTAAGTCCACAATTTGCCAGCCTCATTCTTATGTGTTGCTTAAAATGTCATTATATTGCTAAGTATATGTTTGTATTACAGTTTCAAATGAGTCTGAGAGTTTCAAAAAGATGAAGATTTGGCTGCAGCTAATCTCACTTTAAAAATTCATTATTAGACTCCTGCGCAAAAATAACAGCATACCATTAGGAATATATTAAACAAAGCACTAACCCCTCTAGCCTACAGCTCAATATTGAGTTCTGACTTTGCAGCAACAGCTATTAATTTGAAGTTTATTATTATTACCTGGAAAACTACATCTGTTTGAAAGCACAAAGCATCTTTTTGATGGATATATTCAGACAAAAGAAAAAAAAAGCAGCATTAGGATGCTAGAGCTAAATACAAATACAGGACAATTCCATTACATTGTCCTCATAAAACAGAGGCTCTCGTAATTAATCAAGGAAAAAGCCTTTAACAGAAAGGCTTTACACCTTTTACCTAGAAGTCAACACTATTAAATGACACTGAATGTCAAAGGGAAGCGATGACTGACAGCCTTCCACTGCGATCACTGAGTTACCCCAGGCCAAAATCTGATGTCTGAAAACAGGTACTGCACCTTGTTTTTAGACAAACCTTAGAAAAACCTTCTGTGCAATCGAAGAGCACAGTATTGACCCAGCCAGCATCTGGAAGTAACGACGAGGCTTTGGTCCACATGGAACGGTCACTTCATGTTTTATGTGATTATCACTACTGGCACAAAGTGAATTTTCTTAGCACAGATTAGCCAATTTGAAAGATGCCCCAATAAAGAGAAGAGATAAATTGGAATTTTCAAACAAAGCACAAAATCAAGTCTGAATTTACAGGAAAATTATGTAACCCAGGTTAGCTCATTGTCAGTAACTCCTCTGTAGCAAACTCAAAGTGAATGGGCAGGTCACCAAAAAGCACTATTTGAGCTTATGTATTTTTGCTGTACCTATCGTACACAAAGAAAAAAAGGGGTTCCTTAAATTCCTCTTCCTTAACAATTTAGAATACTTAAAAAGAAATCAAACATAAGTGGATGTCTTATTGAAAACCTAAAGAGTTGGTTTTCTGAAAAAGCAGCTTCTCTTGTATAGCTGCCAGCCCTGCTTAAATTATGAGGTATATATAATCTGGCAAGAATTCCTCCTTATGAGATGTTCAGCTCCAGTACTTTCAGTTACATGTGCAGTGCAGGTCCTCATTTAGAGCTTTAAAAATGGAAGAAGGTTAGACTGGACTTTGAGAGCTGGAAAATATTTTCAGTGTTGCTAGCCAAAAGTGTAAGTTACTCTAAATGAGACATATACAGATGTAATAGCATAACTCAGTTTAAAATACTTTTAAAGGGAAAAATAAGGAGTTTGGGAGCCATATGGAGATCAGACTGAGAAAATGTTTAAAGGTATACCATACAAAAGCACTAGAAATAATACAGGCTCCTTCAGCAAGGCTCTTTCACTGGTTTTTGGTTGTAGGGGTTTTTTTTCAGTCTTGATATAGTAACACTGATGGGTGAGCACCACTCAGGGTTTCACAGATGTGAGGTTTATTAGTTCATTCATTTATCTGCTGGCTCCAGAATATAAACATTATAAGCCTTTATTTTTAAAGAAAGACAGACTAGACTGAAAAATAAATTACTAATAAGAGAGTTTGAAACATCAGTAATATTTTTGCATACCTTTCTGTTAAACAAAAGTACATGCAGATGTTGAATGTAAATAAGTACTTCAACAAGCCCTATTTTAAATACAAATATCAGTATTTGTCTATGTACATGGAGACTATGCACATTAAGGCTGTCCCTACACCCCAGTTAATCTCACCTATCAGTAGTTGGGTTATTTCACTAAAAAGAACCAAGCTATGGAGACTCAGAGTGAGAGGCAAGGAAGAGTTGTGGGATCTGCATGAGCAGAACATGTAAATGACTCTCTTAAATCACCATAATTCATTTCACCCAAGTTCAGCTATGGAAATCAGGTATCTAGTTCAAGTTAGGTGTCTAGGCCCCTCCTATGGTTAATGAAAAGAAATAGGTAGCACCAGAGAATGAATTATCCTTTCATTAAGACAGGTATTTTAAATAGATGGCATGGTTTATTCTCTGGAGCTGCCTACTTTTTCTCTCGACTATGGATGTAGCATAAAGATTAGTTTTCAAATGGTTAAATTTATGTGAAATTAATCTGTGTGATGAAGAAGCATCCTATCCTATGTCAACTGCATGACAGCTCTAACAAACCTGGAATATCATTTGGGAGTTGGAAGTAGTGAGAAGACAGGAGCCAAACTCCTGGTAGTCTGCTTGTACATCTCGGATATTGGGAATGCTAACCAGGAAGCAGCAGTGGTTGAAAAAGCCTTGGAGAGGTGGGCATAAGTAAAACCACTCCAAGAGATCTGATAAAAAGCCTAATTATAGCCAGGTGAATTTTGGACTGTCTCTGTAAAAAGATGGCTCCACTTCTCTATATATAAGGTTCAGAGATGTTCTAAATTAACTCCACTCAGATAAAACCTCCTGACACAAAATTTCATCTCACTTGAGTGAGATACTGCCAGAAAGGCATTCACTAATAAAGCATTTAGGAAAAAAATGTGGAAGGATTAACAAAAAGTTTAAATAATCTCTTCCAAAAAACTGGAGGAAAGTTCAGCACTGACTTCTGAAGTGATGAAACCTGGCCTTCCCACAAACCATGTGTTTCCTTCTTTTTCGAGATGATTACTCCTAGGAACTCAGGTTTCATTAATACGTGATTAACACCAGCTCAGAACACCGATGAGATGCTTAACTCAGAGAAAAGCACGAACAAGTACAAGAGGAAATGTGGTGCAGTTTTATACGAAAATGGTCACTAGATAAATTCCAAAGAGAGGATCTAATTTACTTCACAGAGAGTACCGTTGAAAGTCATCCAAAGGAGATATCCAATTCAAGAACGTCCAGGGTGTGCAGCTGAGGTAAAGTTTACTGCTTTGCAGAAAAACAGTCTCTACTGTTTGCATACAAATAGAGAATGAGAATGTATCTGAGGTAACAGAAAAGTTCAAAGAGCTCAGTATCTTCAGGTCACGAAACCAGACAATCTCATCCTGTAAAAATACTTTATGGTGCCTCCAATCTCAAGTTCAATAGCAAGAATCTTGATATAACTATGCAAGTGGCAGTCAGACTTTATGACTGGAGAATAATGAATAGGTAAACTGAGTAAGTAGAGATGGTATGATGGTATGAGCTAAGAATATCCAAGATCTTAGAAAAAATTCTGAAGGAAAAGCAACTAAGACATGGAAATAAATAGAAAATAAAATTTTAAAATGTTTAGTAAGCATAGATCATGGCTTTCTTTAATAAAACAACTTCAGGAAGCACAGATGCAGTAGATCTAAAATACCTAGTATAAACCTGTCTTTATTTATTCTGCCATGTCATATTCTGGTAGGACTTTATCTGAATTAAAATCCATCTTTCTTCTCACCCCTACCTAAGGAAAAAAAATAATCTAGGGAAGGCAAAGACACAAATGATAGTCTTGTTATGTATTGTGGTGATGGTGTCATAAGAACAATTGACTATCTTTCTGCCACAAAGAAATTAATCTTTGACATTAACATCTATAATGTTAAAATGGATGGAAGGCAGGCTATGGAAGAGGATGCAGACACTATACACTATTCTTCAAAGTCTTCCTGGACAACAAGTAACATGCAAAACAGAACTCACCATAAGCTCTTCTCCAACACGAATAAAACATCAAGAAAGGCTGGGGATTTGGAGACACCACAATCAGTCCTTTTTCCCACAGATAACACACTATCTTTGAAATGTTGGTTGAAGGGCAGCTTCTGGAAGTCATTTAGGCCAATCTCTGCTCAGAGCAGGACTACTGTCAATGCCAAATCAGGTCAGTCATTGCCTTTATGGCATGGGTTCCGAGATTCCCTGTTTCTGGTCAGTTTGTTCCCGTGCTGTACTTCCCACCTAACGAAATACTTTCCCTAATTCTCAGTCTAAACCTTTCAAGGCTGCAACTTGTGGCCTTTGCTTTGTGTTTTAGCATCTTTCATTGCTGAGAAGAATTTGACTCTACTGCCCTTGTGAGTTCCCCACTCTCAAGTAGTTGTAGGCTGCAATTAGCTCCTGCCCTTTGCTTCTTCCTAGAAATAGGTCTATTACAGATTCCGTTGTAAGTCTATTTTCACCTTGGTAATTACACTGAAAGTACACAAACTGAAGACTGACTTCTCTCACATTCTATATATTTTTCACAGCTGCATTCTGTTTAGTAAAAGAAAGTTCTAATACAAACCCGTATTTGATACCTCCTTAGCACAACAGTTGCACTAAGTTGGATGTACCTGTTAAGAGACTGTACTGGTTTTGGCTGAGATAGAGTTAATTTTCTTCATAGTAGCTTGTATGGTGCCGTGTTTCGGATGTGTGATGAAAACAGTGTTGATAATACAGAGATGTTTTCAATATTGCTAAGCAGTGCTTACACAGAGTCAAGGCCTTTTCTGCTTCTTACACTGTCCTACCACCAAGTAGGCTGGGAGTGTATAAGAAGCTGGGAGGGGACACAGCTGGGACAGCTGACTCCACCTGACCAGAGGGATATTCCATACCACACGATGTCGTGCTCAGCAATAAAAGCTGGGAGAAGAAGGGGTACATTTGGAGTTATGGTGTGTTGTGTCCCAAGTCATTGTGATGAAGTATGATGGAGCCTTGCTTTCCTGTGGGTGCCTAAACACTTGCCTGACGATGGGAAGTGGAGAATGGATTTTTCATTTTGCTTTTCTTGGCAGCAGCTTTTGCTTTATTTACCAAACTGTCTTTATCTCAACCCATGAGTGTTCTCACTTTTATCCTTCCAGTTCTCTCCCCGATCCCACCAGGAGGGAGTGGGTGGGGCTGAGCTGCCTACCGAGGTTAAACCACAACAGATACACATGTACCTGGAAGAGTTCAGCATCCCAACAGAGTGAATCGGCAAGAGTGGAATCTGAGGAGCAGCCTTTGTCTTAGGCAACCCTATTTGTTCCTTGAAGAAGGCTTAAAATCTCAAAAGACAATATACAGTGTATATATCTTGTAAGTTTTTAGAAAATCTCTCAGGTTTGTTTTCAAAGTTGCTATTTATCTGGTTCACTTTGATATACTATTAAATTACAGTATTTAACTCACAAAATTCTTAGTAGCAAATCATGTTTGAAACAGGAAACTATGTAAATTAAAATTTAATTAAGATTTTTCTGACATTAATTCAAAAAAACAACATTAAGCATGTTTTCATTAACAATAAAAATAAGTTGCTCATTTAGAACTCATACTATATGTTCAAATTTCTTCACATCTTTCAGAATTAATACTTTTTTTGACACTAAATCCTAAAGCAAGTTTGTTTTCTTCCTCAAAGAATTCTTTTGATTAAAAAAAATAACAAAGTTTAAATCTATAATTTAAATATTTTGGGGAAAAATATTTAATATGTTAAAACAAAGTAAAAACTTTCCATATAGTCAAACTTTTAATCATGGCCCTGGGCACATACGGGCAGTCAATACCAAAACTTATTTCTTTCTTATTGATGCCAGAAATCCAAGAAGAATAAGAGTGATAGTAAGATATCTACTGTGGGACAAGCTATCCCCATATGTAAAACAGAGGCATCGCTCGCTCTCTCTGTCATCTTAAGTACAGAATCATGGTTTTCTCAAAGTAACACTGCAGCTATTTCTTCAGGATTGCTATCCATTAGGAAAAAAATATCCAGTACAACATAAAACAAGGCTCTTACTGGTTTGTAGCAGAAAAAGAATATAGTTAAATTTTATACAAGATGAGTCCCACTCTACAGCAAATAAAAATAACCGAATCAGTAAAGCATTTTAATATCCTTGTAATACAACCTAGGTTTAGTCGTTTCATTTTTCCAGATATCCCCATGAAGATATTAACTTTCTAGTATTCATAATCCAAAGTACAACAACAGACATCTTAAATTTACCCACATTTCAATTCAAGTATTTTAAAATATGTTTTTATGCTTTCTGTTCAGAGTACCGAGAGGTCACATTTTTTACATGAATGCTAACAGGCACAGTTCACAACAAAGTTCAGGATTGCTTTGGGGATTAATTCTCCTTCTCTTTTTAAAACAAGTTCATGATTTCAATTCAAGATAAAAGTTGAATATATTGTTGATCTAAATGCTCAGACTGGTCCACATTTATAATGCTCAAACATCATGAATGAACAAATTCTCATTATTCACCCTGAATGGAAGTCACAAGAGAATTACTGAATGTTATGAATAAACATGTGTAGTGTCTGCCTATCCACATTTCAAGTTGATGATGCTGATTCATATTCATAATCTGAACACTCCCCAAACAGAAAAACCCAAACCAAAAGACAGGGTTTACTTACCAATGGCTCCCTGTTTTTGACAAGTCTGATTATCTTAACTGAATCTTCTTCCTCATCAATATCATCAGGCATAGGAGGCAAGACAGGATCGTAGTTCTTCTGAGCAACAGTATCATGTACATGGAGCAAAGCCTGAAAACATTGATATTAAGCATATTATGTGGCATCTGAAAATTTTATGAAAGAGAAAGCAGATTATATTAAAGCCTAACTATAAGTGTGATGCATGTAGACTGAATATAATTAATGTATACAATTTTAACACATGTCAAACTGTGCATACAGAACAGTGTCTTCATACACATGAAAATATCGAGTGCTTTGCCTATCCGCTTGAAATTATAGGAATTACGATCAGGAGATAATCCAAGTCTCCTGAAGTAAGAACATCATTCTACTCATCGTAGATCAAAATTTTCTTCGATACAGTAAGCACTCCTATGAAACACATAAGAAAATAAGCATCTTCCAGTACTCCGACTGAACCAGGAGATCCATGACTTCAAGCTGTTGTCCAGCCATTCCCTTCAGAGGGGCTCTGCAAGCTTACCTGGTTACTGGATAGGTTTCACACTAGCTCCCTTTCATACAAGCTCCAAATTATCTTAGGAATTTTTAATTTATTGTGGAATTCATGATTGAGATTGAGGAACATATTGCTGAAATGACTCGGTTCAGGCAGGTGCTTACCAACCACATGTTGCATGTCTTACGTCCTTTCTTTCTCTGTTGCTTCTGCAGCTCGTGCATAGCTTGAACAATAGAGTTTTTTCAAAGAAAAGCCTAATAACACCTGACAAAAGGTTCAATCTTAAAAATAAAATCATTGATAAGCTTGGAGAAATTAAAAAATCTCGAAAGTCAAAGGAAGTTAGAAAGCTCATTCTCCTAAGGCTCTAAAAAATCTCAGCTAGAATTTAAAGTTCAGAGCTTTTCCTAGATACAGATCTCTCAAAGTTCTTTTCTATGTTGAAATAGAAATGTTGAAATAATGCCCTTCATTATTTGTAATACCTTTAAAACTGGTGAAAAATGGCTAAATAATGCTTTTAGTTTTGTAGTGAAAACTATGCACTATAGCAGGAATAACTGCAACAGCCATACATACAATTCTATCTACTGCCTTCAGTTGCTTCTGTTCTCAAGTAGTTGCTCCTAAATACTTGAATATCTTACATTTTGACCTGATAATTCTTCCCAAAGAGTTAATGACCCAAAACTGTATGTTCTCAAGGACAATGCAAATGTTTTTAAAAAGCACGACACTTCCATGATGTTATCCCAGGATTTTTTTCCCTGAATGGAGAAGACTGTAACAACAGAAAAACCATTTTCAGGCAATGCTACAAGCTATCATGTCAAAAGCAGAAGGTGAAGAGTATATGGTAACCTTGAAATTCTGAAATTTAAATCTGAAGTTAGGTCTTCAACAAAATAAACACAGAGGAAGATCATGCCTGCTTCATGAGAATTTGCTGTTGTTTTACTAATTTCCATGCATATTGTACAAATTAATGGTAACATTTCAACACACTCTAATTGTTTCTGTTTTTTTTCAAGACACAGTTATGAATTGGTACTATTAACCATCGGAAATTACCAGCTCCCTCCCATCAGAAATTAGTTTTACTTCAGATGTGAGCAAAAAACCTCAGGCTAGCAATTATGCTTCCTCCTGGAAATGTGTATTATGAAGCATTACATATGTAAAAGCCATGCAATCTCATGCAGTCCTCGAAAGATGTATGTGAACTATCAAAGCTACACTAAAACAAAAGTAGTGTTTGCTTTTACTTCAGGCTACTTACAGTTAAGACTTCTAAAACTAGTCTTCTGCAATTACGTTTTTCCACATAAAGCTAAGGCACATTCATGGACTGGTTCAGTTTAATGAGGTTCTATATTGCAGTTTAAAAACAATCAGGCAGATAGAGAAAACAGATGAAAATAATCTAAAGCACCACTTCCAGAGTAAAAGGCAGCAACTTAAAACATATTCAAAAGAACCTACCCTTGAAAATGAAGACTGCAAAACAGATTTTGCCTACTACTACACTGAATTATGCCACCAGTATTGATGAGATGCTCCCCTGCTCTGACTGCCAGGTAAGACTCCTGGACGCTGTGCACAGAACAACGATGCAGCCCAAGTGTTATATGATGCCAATCAATGTCTGGTATTTATGGTGCTTTTCTGCACTCACAACAACTGGAACTTATCAACCCCATCCCTCCTCCTCTCAAAAACCCCATATTAAACCACAATGTAGTACAGTTTTCAATATAAGATATTTTACCCAAACCCTGGTATTATTTTATCTCGGTGCAAAGATGCATATTTTAAGTAAGAGTACGAATGCCAGAAATTACGTGTCTTCTCTCAGCCAAGTTTCCAGAAGAGATTCTGTCATCACAAACTTGTTTATGCTGCACACCGAATGTACCAGGATTTCTTTCCTGCTGGTCTTCCACCATTGCTGCTTCTAACACACTACTATCTGTCCACTCTAGTGGCTCTTGAAATAGTCAGTGGCATAGGCACTAGGCAATTATCTGCAAGCAAAACGTATAAAGCTATTTTGATTTCACTTAATGCATTCAATAAGAGGTGATCAGAGCCTGTCCTTGAGAGAACTTCCATATGTCGTGAACGTACGAAAAAATGACAATATTCACAGAGTAAAGCGACATTTCTCCAGCAGTTTCTTTGTACTGTGTATTTAATATGATGTATGCTTCATCCAAAAAACTATCAGAGTAGACTTTTATAGAAAAGGTTGAGACTTCTTTAAAAACACAAATTACAAGTGCCAGGAAATAAAAGTTGGATCTCATCATCAACAAGATTCGCACAGCATAACTGTGCAGTAAATATACAAGTCAATATAAGTCAGTAATGTTCTCTTCTTGTACATAAGAAGTGATTGATTTATTCACTGCAGTTTTATACTCCATTATACTAATTCTTGCCTATCACAAGAAACAGCAAGAAGTACAGATGACATTTTAAGGGTTTTTTATGTTTTGTTTTTGTTTTCAAATACACAGCTCTTTTGGAACTATGCATGCATGATCCTAGATTAGGGTCATGCATATTTAAGCACCTCTGGAGAAAAAGATTTCATTTCAGCTCTAAGTTCTATGCTTATGATTCACTAATGTAAACACGGTCCATATTTAGAACTTGAAAGAAGGTATGATTCAAACTCCTGCACTACCTAAACATAAATATTGATGTTCAGCTAAATTCTTAGACATGATCTAGCTGGAAATGAACACTTTCATCAGACCACTGAAATGTCTAATAACTAGTGCTGTATTTTTCATATAAAAGCTATCACTGATCATTTCACAGTTTATAAATTGAAATTTTACACTATTGACTTACACAAAGAAAATCTGACATTGGAAACATTCAAAGTTCTTTTTCTTAAACCATTCTAAAGCTTTAAATGTTTATTTAAATAGAGAATGTTATTAATGAAAACAGTTCCATATTTTTAAAAATGTGTATCATTTAACTACACTGACTACATTTTTTTACTCTTCCAAAACAATGATAAAATTTGTATTTTTTGCTTCTGTTTGTATTTTGAAATTTGTAAGACTAAAAATACTCCACATAGCCCTTGACTTGTGCACACAACTCCTTATGTTTTTATATTCTCGTTATTAAAAAAAAAATCTCAACTGAAGCTTTACTTTTCAGAAATAACTTGCATTTCCTAGTCTAGAAAACCACTTTAGAAAACAGTAAGTTAAAGCAGCAAGACAGAAGGGACAAAGAAACAAAAGTGGCCTCTTTCTTTACAGTATTTGAAAAAAGGAAGATCAGAAAATTAAATAATTAATAGTCCAAAACATCAACATAAAATCTGTAGGGACTCAAACCAACCTTTACGAAAGCCAACCACTGCAGCAGGCTGTGACACTGCCAACCCAGCTGCTGGTTACACTGCCTACGGAGCAATGACTGCCCTGGCAGCAGAGTCAGCAAAATGGAACAAAATGGCCCATGACTTTGTGATCCCAGTCCACAGCTTGGATCATTAGCACAGGCCATCTCCTCCAGCAGTTCAGCTGGAGCACTACCAGGTGACACAGAGACATTTTTCCACCTCCTTGCTTTGTTATGGTGACAGTAACTTCCACTGAGGCTGGCACAGAGAAGTCACAGCAGAAGAGAAAAGTAACTTCATCAGCAAGCACAGCAGCGTGTCCCTGAACTCCACTGGCAGAGCTCGTCCTTCAGAGAGCTGTGGCCATACTGTGTTTTCCTTTGTGATAGGGTTACAGAAGAAATACCAAAAAAGCTAAAAGTGTTGGTGGAGAAAATTAAATTATTCAAGACTGGAAATGTTGATTTTCGAGTAACTTCCATGAAGTTAAAATCAAGTGAGTGAAGTTATCCAGGGACAGATATCAAAGAAGGAAACCTGAAAGAGCTGGGAGGAGACAGAACCCACTGAAGGAAAGACCATCAGAGCATCAAAATGGAAGGAGAAGGAGAAGAGACGTGACAGCCGAACATGTGCAAGAACTTGGAAAGCAGGAGAATAAAACCAGCAGAAAGCTGTAGCATAATGGTGCTGGCATACAGGCGCTAGGGACAAAGAACAAATCTGACTTCAGAACAGTTTGGAGAAGAGAGGAATAAAAATACAAGGTATTCAGAATCAATCTACGCATTTAAGAGCAACTGGTAAACTGCACAAAATTTAACAGGGGAAAAAGGAGATAAGAATTTAGATGTGGGGTGAGGGAAGAGAACAGCCTTTCTTCTACAGGAGAATTAGTCTTTAAACCTACTATCTTGAGTACATGAGCTGGACTTCACGTTGATGTACTGATGACTTCCACTCTCCAGCAAATGGGCTCCACAGCCATCAGCAAAGGGCAGCATGTGACAGTCTCTTAACACTAACACTGCCTGCTAAGGGAGTGCGTGCAACCCTGATCCTGATGCAAAATAAGGGTTAACAAGAGGACAGGTGAGCACAGGCATCTCAACTAACAGATAAGAACAACGACATTAGCTGAAATCTCTAAAGCATGAAGCATAACCTAGAAGCAGAAGCAAGCAATAAAACTAGAGCAGGAGAAATATGGCAGTGCTGCTGAAGGGACCAGAG